TGACTTCATATACTTCATACGATTTTTCACCTTATCCTTATCAATTGGCTTATCGGGAAACATTTCTTGGAGTTCAGCCACTATTTGATTGTAAGCCGTTGGTGAAAAGACGGAATTGTGCCGGTTTCCAATCACATCTTGATGCAAAAGAGCTTCAATTAACTTCTCATCCATAGCACAATTCCACACCAAAGAGATGCGATTTCTTCCCTTAGAAGAATCACCATCCGTATACCTTCTTTTTGACATTCCTAATTTACACAATAATGTTAGGAAATATAAAATTACATTCCTATTTTACATAATAATCTTAGCAAATACACAAGAAAATTAATTACAAGTCTATGAAGGACAATAGAAATAGAAAACATAAGTCTAGTCACCAAGTACAATAGAAATAGAAAACATAAGTCTTACAATCATCAAACACAACAAAAAATTAATGAAGGACAATAGAAATAGAAAACATAAGTCTAGTCTTACAAAAAAAATATTGCAACAATCATGCATTATAATCTTGCCACATAGAAGCTGCAATGGAATCTCTTAAACATTCCCCTCTTTGTTCATCTTCATCCTCGTCCACATTATCTTCGACCGATGGGTTTTCATTATCACCTTCTACCCCTTCAGGGAAATCATCTTCTGGGTCGGTACCTCTTAAAAAATTATGCAAAATACAACAAGCTAGGATGATTTGATTTTGTACTTTAACACCATAATTCGGTTCAGTTGAGCTCGCTATGATGGGAAATCTTTTTTTTAAAACGCCAAATGCTCTTTCAATGGCATTGCGAAGTGACGCATGTCTTAGGTTAAATAGCTCACGTTGAGTCCTTGGTGGATTTCTTGAATACTCATTCAAATGGTAGCGTTCCCCTCTATAGGGTGGAATTATTCCACTTTTTAACATGTACCCACCATCAGCGAGATAATATTTTCCTAAAAAAATTCATTGTGATTAATAACTGATAAAAAAGGGTTTTATTGTCATTAATAAATTATTCAGGATTAATGATTACCTTGAGGGATTTTAAGTGGAAATCGTCGTTGCAAAGCATTTTTCAAAATTCTGGAATCAGATGCAGTACCTTCCCACCCAGGTAACACATAAGTGAATTTTAAGTCAAATGTGCAGGCAGCCAACACATTTTGTGTTGGATGATCTTTCCTACCACGATATTTAGGAGCGTCAGTAGGAGAAACCTTTACTCGGATGTGTGTTCCATCTATTGCTCCAACACAATCCTGATAATATAGGGAGTAATTAGTTAAATTCTAATTTTAACAATCTATACAAAGATAAGAATTTGTGTAATTTATCATCACCTTGAAATAAGGATCAAACTTTGGATTATTGCGTATCTCTGAAGGAATTTGTGATCCATTGGGTTGCACTAAAAATATCTCTTCCAACTCTATCATAGCTCTTAAAACATTATGAAAATGACGACTCACACTCTCTCCAGATCGTCCAAATATCTTACTAACCTCACGAGTAGTTACGTTGTGTCCCAACATATACAAAAAATTTGCAACTTGTTCCTTAATAGCAACTCTTTGAGTTCGTTTAAGCCTTTCATCTCTCTCTAATATTCCACATAATTGATGAAAAGCCGGTAGATTCATTCGGATCATTTCTCTACATACAACCCTTTGTGATAATATTTTTCGCACCATATTAGTTACTTCTCTACGCTCGTAGGGTTCACTATTTAATCTCCTTCTATTTTCTCTTTGTTGAATGAACCAATAAGCAATCACACAAAGAACATATCCAATTGCACAATGGCATTCATGTTGAAATTTGACCCATGCTTCATCCATTATCTATGTGAGGATATGGAAATAACACAATTAGAATAGAAAATTAAAAATCGTTAATTATACACAAACTAATGATAAATTTAGAAGCTCTTATTACTATACACAAATTAGTTTATTATGTAATTTCAATACTCTTTTATAACACTACTTGATCTAGAATAAAAATTTCAATACTCTTTTATAACATATGTAGTCATTTGCTCTTTATGGCAATGTTGCACTGAAGCCAATTGATATAAATTCAAAGTAAAATAATCCAAAAGGCAAAACAAAGAAGCCTTTTAACTTTAAAACTAATATTCCATTAGAAACAGAATCACCAAATCAGTAAAACCTTGGATAAGTTAAACCTCCACCTGAGCTGTAACTATAAATATGGTTCATGCACATTTTCTAAAACTTATACTCACGAACCGAAATCAAAAGGTTGTTAAGACCCACTACCACCGCATCACCAAACAAACCCTAATAACCCTGGCGAGCAGAATCAATAGAAAATATCAATTCAAAATTGGTGGGGGGGGGGGCAAAGCTTTACAACTAGTTAACACAGAATACTCAACTAAAAACACAAATCGCAAATCCCTAAACCCTAAATCAGATAAAACTAAAACCTAAATCCCAAAATCCCAAAAAAAAATTAGAATCCGAGAACTTTGCAGAGCTAGGGCAGGCGTCAAAGATCACTAACCAAACTAGCAGATTAATTACAAAACGCTGCATAATAAAAGAACAAAAAGGAGGACGCTAGAGATCGATAAGAAAACTCACCGGAGACGGCGAAAGATGGTAGCTTTCTGCCGCCGGCGTAGGCACCGGGGAGGCGGGGTGAGGAGATGAGGAGGAAGAGGCTAGGGCTCAGCTAACGAATGAAGGCTCCTCAAACGGCGGGGGTGATTTATTTGTTGATGAAGGGTAATATAGACATTTCAGTACTGCTGTGAGTTTTCCCAATTCTGTTCCCCTCCTCTACCGCCCGATTCGGGGGGGAACAATTTCCCCTCCATTTTTCCTTCCTCCCCCTTTCATTTCCCCTTCCTTACCCCTCTCTACCCCCTTAAGAAAACTCCCAAACAAGGTGAAAAATAATTTTCTCTTCCCCTCCCCCTCTCTACCCTACAAAAGTGAACTCCCAAACAGGCTGTTATATTTTTCTTTGTTTGTTTTTTATTCCATTGGAATCATAAATTGCTTGTTTGGTTTGTAAATGTAACTTTAATTGTTTGTTTGGAAAGTGTAAAAAGTGGTCCCTACTCAAATGATCATATTGGTTGGAATTATTTTTTATTATTTTTTCCTGACTTCAATGTGAGCTTTCTCCTAAAATCATGTCTTTTTTTTATGAAATCACTTTACAAGCCACATCAGCATATGAAATCACTTTACACTATTTTCACAACTACAAACAAACAATTGAAAGTGATGAAAGCTGATATTGGGACCCACTTTTTTACACTTTCCATCCTTTTACATGGTAAAAACATACAACCAAACAGCCCCTTATACTTTTCTTTGTTTGTTTTTGATTCCATTGGAATCATAAAACACTTGTTTGGTTTGCAAAATGAAACTTTAATTGTTTGTTTGGAAAGTGTAAAAAGTGGTCCCTACTCAAATGATCATATTGGTTGGAATTATTTTTTATTATTTTTTCCTAACTTCAATGTTAGCTTTCTCCTAAAATCATGTTTTTTTTTCATGAAATCACTTTACTAGCCACATCAGCATATGAAATCACTTTACACTATTTTCACGACTACAAACAAACAATTGAAAGTGATGAAAACTGACATTGAGACTCACTTTTTTACACTTTACCTCCTTTTACATAGTAAAAACATACAACCAAACAGCCCCTAAACTATTCTTATTATAAGTACAACTAGGTACTAAATGTCCTTTAAGTATGGTTCTGCTATAATTTCGTCTTATAATTGTGATGTGAAACTTGGAATTCACATCTGATTCAAGCTTCTTCAAGTTCCTATACCTTGGAAGGAAGAAAAGCTATGCTATCATCCACTACGTTTATTTTGCGTCTATGCTAGCGCCTTTGCATTAAATTGCACTAGTATTGATGCGTCTACTCTATCCCTTTTGCATTGAATCGTGTATGTAGTGTCAAACCCTTAAAACTAAACTCAGTTTTGGGTTTTTTATTAGCAAAAATTAAACCAGTTCTGGCTTAGTTTTTGTTAGGCAAAAAAAATAAGAGGCTTAATTCTTTTTTGAAACCGGGGTAAGATCAGTCTTGACCCAGTTTTGAGGGGTTTGCCAAACACAGTGAATAGACACGAGTTAATGCTTGTACTATCAATTATTTTGTAATGTATCTAAGAGAGTGGATAAATTCTGGCCTAATTTAAGAGGCTCAAAATGACTTTAAAAAAGCTAGGCCAGTATAAGGGGATTGATCAATTTTGGTCTGGTTTAAAGGGTTCAAAATGACCTAAAAAAAAGTTGGGCTATAATTGGCCCAACTTTTCCCAAATAGAAAATATGTTAGAACTGAGTCAGTTTTAATGGGTTGTCAATCAGCTCCTAAAAAGATAAACAATTATCATCCATAAAAGTTCACATAAGAAACTCATCATGATTGAATATTCCCCATCAGTAGTGGATGGAAGATGAAATTTTTTATAAAAATAATTGAGATATGGAAGGTTTCATGTTAAAATTGGAATTTTTAATGAAAATTATCTCTTGTACGAAAAGCTATCATTAACTAATAACATTATGAAGTCTTTTTAAAGATTTTCTTCATTCAGATAAATTTATAAAACGGGTTTAGTAGCTTTATAAATTGAAAATTGCTATACACCATTGTTCTTACACGCCACACATCCGAAAGATATACGTCGGGGTCTTTTATGTTCACAAATTCTGGACCTTAAATTTTTATTAGCCCATCGAATAATTAAAGTTGTTATTATGTCCCTCAATTCTCATAAATTGTCACAAAACTAAGGACCTTAGAGCAATTTCAATAATGTGAGGGGCTAAGTAAAAATATTAAACAGCCAATATCTAGAAAAATCCTACACTTCATTGATTGGTAAGGATCCTTGAGGTAGAAGACAATATTAGCATGAAGCATTCTAATTAAAAATAACAAATTAAAATTAAAACCCAACCGCCTGCATTTAATACTTGTCCCTTAGCCTCTAAACCCGCTCACGGGTCTCTCACACTCTTATATTCTCTCTGCTACCCCCAAGAAGGATTCACAGGGAGGATCATGTGAAGTGCAAAAACCCCTTTTTCTATTTTCCAAAAATAATTTTAACCCATAAAACCAACGCCTTCATCAAACTCTTTTCTCCCCAGAGAGAGAAGAATAATGTCATCCAGCGCTTCGAGATTCATCAAGTGCGTCACTGTCGGCGACGGCGCTGTTGGCAAAACCTGCATGCTCATCTGCTACACAAGCAACAAGTTCCCTACTGTGAGCTAAATCCTTTCGGGTTTTCTTTAATTTTTCAAAATATTTCATTAAATTGATTAATGGGTATTCTTCGTCTTAGGATTATATACCCACTGTGTTTGATAACTTCAGCGCGAATGTGGTTGTTGAAGGGACCACTGTGAATTTGGGTCTTTGGGATACTGCTGGTAAAGTTTTCTAAATTTTTTGGGGGGTTTGACCTAATTTGCCCAGATTCTTGAATTTTTGGGTGAATTTCTTTGTTTTAGGGCAAGAGGATTATAATAGGTTGAGGCCATTGAGCTACAGAGGGGCTGATGTCTTCGTGCTGTCCTTCTCTTTGATCAGCAGGGCGAGTTACGAGAACGTGCTGAAAAAGGTAGAGCTTGGATTGTGAAAATTGTGGCAGTTCTACTTGTAGATGGGTATTAATGATGATGATTTGCTTTGCTTGATGATGTGTAGTGGATTCCAGAGCTTCAGCATTTTGCGCCCGGAGTGCCCGTTGTACTTGTTGGTACTAAATTGGGTAAGGGAGCATGTGCATCTTTGTGTAGATTTTCATTGTGGCATGAATTTTTGATTCTAGGTAGGCAAGTGTTAAGGTTCATTCTCTTTTCTGAGGGTTACATTTTCATTGAGTTTCAATTTCTTAGAAAATTTGTCTTACTGGCTTTAGTTGCCTGCCAATTGGGTATTGACCTTTATGTTGAATTCTATCTTTGATGAAAGAATAAGGGGATGAAGGTGAAAGGATAATTGGATGTAACACCATGTAAAATATCTATAAAAGGAAAACTCTGATACGAGAAAGAAACATTTAGTAAAGTACTAAATAAGAAGATACTGTATTTAACTTGTACATAGAATCTAGACGCTTCTATTAAAGGAAATAAACCATATGATATCTTCAAAGACTAGACAAAGTTTTCTTATATAGAGAAAGAATTCTACCTGAAGTTGCATGTTAAGCTAACCTTCCATAGTTATATTCAGTAGTCGCATCAGAATGTTACTTTTGTGGTGCTAGGAAATGTAAGAAGTATCACCTAGTTGTTGATAATGGCAAAGAATTAGGTACAAAGCCCTGCGCCTTTTTTTTTTGGGGGGGGGGGGGGTGCTAAGGCGGCTTTCATATTTTTTTAGTTACAATAAAGGTAAATGCCAATATTATAGAAAGCACAAGCACCTCTTGGCGCCGGACTGGTGCATAATGCATAGGCGAATTTCTTTCTTTTTTAACTGGTGGTGGAGGAGTTTTTTTTTTAAAGTTGGAGGAGGTGTTCGTAGTTAAGGGAGATCAGAGGAGTTTGAAGGAGATTGGAGGACGTGAAGGCTGTAGTGGAGCAAATCACGACCAAGACCTGAGCGGTGCAGACCTTGTAAGTGGTTCATGCTCCCCTACGCACTCCCAACACCTAGGTGGGCGGCCTAGGTACTGCCTAGGCCTAGGAAACACTTAGGAGGGATAGGCATTAGCTTTTTAAAACATTGTAAAGAACACCTCTGACCTAGAACTTTAACCTCTTGAATCAAACTACATTAGTTTGTATTCAGATTAGACTCTATAATATACCTTACAGATACTAACAATCAACATAAACGCTTGCTAAGTACTGAAGTAAATATGTGATGCGATCATCTCAGTGAATCTAGTAAAATACACTTAAATAGTCCATTATTATTTGGACTACTGAACATCTGATTCCACACCCTTCTTATATTCAAAAGTTTTGCATATGACCAATATATTTGTCTCCTTACATCCAATATTCCTTTGATACCAAAGGGAACACCTCCAAACATCCTTTGATATAAGATGTTTTGTACCAATTTGATTTAATGCATTGAAGTTATAAGCTCTCAGGCCTTGTTCTGGTTCCTGAACAAAGTCCAATGCTCCTGTGTATCAAGTTTTTTGATCTCCCTCAAATGTGTAGATAGATCTTAATACACCAGGAGAATAGAAAAAATAGAAAACTGATTATGAAGACTAACATGTTTGAGTTGTGAGGAGGTCTTTGAGAGATTTAAAGCATTTTCATGAACCAATTTCTAATATTTTGCTTATGATGGAATGCTACAGAGTACTTACTTCCAACAAAGTACATGTAATCTTGCATTTATGCATGTCTCATGTCTCAAATGAGCATCATGTCCATTTGTCTTATTCTGTTTTTGTAGAGGTATGACTTGTAATAGAATGTTATCTGCAGATCTTCGTGAAGATAAGCGCTATTTATCAGATCATCCTGGCTTGGTGCCTGTTACAACTGCTGAGGTTTCTGTTCTATGTTTATCTAGTTTCTTGTCCTGCATTTACTACAATCAGGTGAAATGCTATACTTAGCTGTCCTGGTTCTTAATTGCAGGGAGAAGAACTACGCAAGCAGATTAGTGCTGCATATTACATTGAGTGCAGCTCAAAAACACAGCAGGTGGGTTTGTCTCCAATTCTTCTAATATACATTATAGTGCTAAAAGTTTTATTTACCATAGACATTTTCAAGAATGATATTCTCGGTTGGTTTGATTAGAATATAGCCCAAGGCTTCGAACATTATTTTCTTGGTTTAACTTTCATTTAGGAATAAAAAACATACTTCATAATGCAGTTATAAAAATCTACTAATTTGCAGAATGTCAAGGCAGTTTTTGATGCTGCAATCAAGGTAGTTATTCAACCTCCATCGAAGAAGAAGGAGAAGAAGAAGAAGAAAAAGCCGGAGCGTGGATGTTCAATATTGTCAGTAGACTTTTCTTTTGCTAAAGACACTTAAATTCAGTATTTGTTGACATATGTTTATCATACTTGATTGCTTTGTTAAAGATGTTATTTTCGTTGAGTTATACAGCTTCGTGATAGTCTTAGCTAGCACTTAGCAGTAGACTGTAGCACTATTATTCTATTCAAAGTGTTCTATTTTCCTCAGGAACTGATTTCTTGCATGTATGCAGTTAAGGGGAAAAAAGGAAGAAACAGGGACTAGTGTACACATTTTCAGGCTGTGCTTTGTAGTTTTAGGAATAAGAATAAGCACTATTTTTATAGGGTCCGTCTTCATTTACCTTTTTTGCTCCATTTAATTCTTTACCCTCAGTTAGATTACATTCACTTTAACATGCGTCAACTTAAACCTTGTTATTTCTTCACACACACACACACACACACACACACACACGCACGCACGCACACACACACACACAGAAAGAAACTGACTGCATCACCTGTTGCAATTTCAGGAATATCCTCTGTGGGAGGGAACTCACATCTTAAACAAAGCGACATATAATGGAATACTGTAGATTTCAGTTATGTGCTTCATGCTCATTTCATGACCTTATATTTCATCAGGTTTGAGCTTAAGTTGCTTTGGGCTTTTCTATAGTTCATTTTGATGCTTATGGTTCCTTACCATTTCTTGGGTTTAAAGATGAACGAATCTGTTTGTGAAGAATGGGCGGAAATCAGTTAATCCTGATGCATAACCAGGGCAATGATGAAAATAGCCTCTCCTTTACTGATAGTCATCAAATTTTACTCGAATTGTAAAGAACTTAAATCTAAGAAGCTTTCTCAACTTCAGTATCCTGCTTGTGACCTTATTTTGCTTTGATCATATCATTGTTCTTTATTGTCGACAGAAATTTTCTGTCAAAATTGATCTCTTTCATGTTGCCACCTGATACAGAGTTAAGTCTGTTAAGGCTGGTAAATTTTTTTTTTTGCCATGCGGTTCAAAGATGGAAAAGGTTGTGCGTGTCATTCTATTAGAGAGGTTTTCTCAAGTTGCATAACTATCCTTTTCCCATACTTCGGTATAAGTAGTAATTGGAGAAGTTTTGTGGTAGCTTTTTTCTATTTACAGATTGAACTTTTATTTAGAGTTTCAAAGAATTCAGTTTTTTTCACTTACGAGTGTTATTGATTTGTATGTTATTTGTCTGTAAGAGTGCAATAAGTTAGAAAAATGAGTTACTATGAACAGTGGAAATTAGGTAATATGTCACACACATAAAATTCGTTAATTTCATATAGTACACAAACAACCACAAAATTATGAGTATGTGGTGTGCAAACATCCATGTTTTTTTAACCATAGTAAAATATAGGGGTACAAATACAATGAACAGTTTCGATGCCCATCCATTTGAAGGACTCAACTCCTGAGCATCTACTCATTTTCTTCATACTTTTGAATCTTAGTCCCCTAATTTGAAAGGCTACAGTATTAAGAAGTGTTCTACTAGGATTCATACTCTAATTATCAATCATTGAATGTGATGGCTACTGAGATCTAGCTTAATTAAGCAACAAGCACGAGATTTCCCAAATATGAGGCCTGATTCATCTTTGAAAGAGACTTAACACGTCACAAGCAAATAAATATATAATCAAAGATCCATTATCTCCAAGGAGAGGTTACTCTGAATTGTTTATTACATCCATTATTCTTCATAACAGCACAAACCTAAGCATTCTAGTTCTTGAGAAGATGGGCCTCCAATTCTTTGAAGGTCTTTTCAGTAAGTTCCTTGATGCTATGAGGGTCTCTGGAATCTCAGCACTCGCCTTCTCATACTCGAAACTCCCTTTCATTGTGCATCCCTCACCCTTCGGAACAACTTGAATTGTAGCCTTGAAAACTTTGTAGAAGTTCAACAGTTCTCCGTCAATCACACTGGTGCCTACCATCTTGTTTGCTTCATCGACTATCTCTATTTTCTCATTGGCATTTGTGACGACGGGAATTGCTACATAAGCTTGTGCATATTAGATTTTGGATACAATTCTTGTTCTTATCATGCGATAATATCTTAAACTAGTCAAAATAGAATTTCTGTGAAGTGTCTAGTTCATATGGCGGGGTTCAGTTAATCAAAAATTCCAAGTTCAAAACTAAACTTGCATCATTTGTAGCAATTTTTTCATAGCTATTATTCTTATTCGACTCTTCATACTTGAACCCCATCCTCATGAACTGTGATAGTTGCCCCGAGTTGCATGAAATAACCAATTAGTTGAACTCTAGCTGATGTGACTTCATACTAGTGTGTATGATATTGTTCACGTGTATATTAGTTATATGCCATTTGCATGCCCACACCTATAGAACTTTTTGTATGTGTCAAAAGCAAGTTGCGACTGCTATAAATCAGGCTAATTACATTTTTACAGCTATGTAGCAGCATAGTGAAAACAGAAATCTGAACCTTATAATTTGCATTTTCTTGGTGAATGGCAGTGGATAAAACTGGTTTCTTTGGATGTAAAATAGCATTGTGAATGTAATGTGAAAAATATATAGTAGCAGCCACTCTATTCATCACTGTTGAAAACATATATGAGTGGATTCAAACAATGTTAGGATCAATATGACAGTCCAAGATGGGGAGCAAATATGCTCTTCATCACGTGCACAAGTGCTAACCTTCTCCATACTTCAGTAGCCGAACAGATCCTTCGCTCTTTCTGTCACCTTCGACAACTTTGATGCTCTTGTACTGCTCAGGGAAGATCTTAGGTAAGAGATCATTAGATTCACCTATAGCTTTCCAGTGTTAGTCTGCAGAGGACTTCAACTCCACTCCAATTTCCATCTTGGAGACCATTTTCTCTGCAACAGAGATAATATTGCTGATGACAATGAGATTTTAAGAGGTGTAGAAGATGAGTGGGAAAAAAAACAAAGGGATATGTCATCTATAAATAGTCTGTTCTTGTGGGTTTGCCTGCCTGTCTTATTTAATGGCCTCTGAGCAGCCAACTACCATATAATCTTTTCCTTCTCCTCAGTGCAAATATAAGCTAGCTGGTAGATTCTGTAATCTATTCACAGCCTATCCTTAGATCAATGTAAGACAGTGAGGTCCCATGGCGAGTTCATTCATTCTAAATAGGGGTGGCAATTTGTGACCCGACCCGACCCGTTGTAAATAGGTATGAGTCACTTTATATGGGTCAGGTCATAAATGGATCGACCTAAAGAACCCATTTATTAATCGGGTCATAAACAGGTCAATCCACCAACCCGTTTAACTTTAACACATTTATCATTCAACCCTTAACATTCATAATTTGTAAAAACACACCCATAAAATATCAATACTTATGAAAACACTATAAAATCCAGAAATTACTTCAAACATTATGAAAATTTTACAATTTGCAGAAAACACCCTTAGCGATTAAAAAAAATTAAAAAACATCCTTAAAAATTTACCAAAAACCATGAAAATATCAAAACTTACAAAGCAGTACAAAAATCTATAAATTATAAACAACACAATGAAAATTTTAAATTTGCAAAAAACACTCTAAAATTGCAGAATACACCCTCAAAAAGTCTAATTTATGAAAACACACCAAGAAATATCAAAACCTACAAACAGTATAAAATTTAAAAGTTATAAACATCACCATGAAAATTTTGAAATTTATAGAAAACACTGATGGTTTCAAAAGTTGCAAAAAATACCCTAAATAAGTCAAATTATACAAAAACACACCCCTAAAAAATCAAAATCTACAAATAACTACACAATGTATAACTTAAAAATAGCACCATGAAAATTTTGAAATTTGCAAGAGACACCCTAATAGTTTCAAAAGTTGCAAAAAACACCCAAAATAAGTCACAATTTTTAAAAACTGAAAATTTGAAACTTATGAACAGTGAAGTTTTCATAATTTATAAATTACAAAAACACGCTGAAAGTTTTGAGTTTTGCAAAAAAACACCCTAAACGTTTGAAAAATTACAAAATACATGCCCAAAAGTCAAACTTTTATAGAAACATGACCCGAAAATACCAAAACTTACAAAAAGTACAAAATATATAAGTTGCAAAATGTAAAAAAATCTATAAGTTATAAGCAGCACCAAATTTTTTTAAAATTTGCAATAAACACCCTAAATGTTTAGAAAATTGCAAAACACACCCTTAAAATTCAAACTATTACAGAAACACACCCTGGAAACAATAAAATTTATAAATAGTACAAAACCTATAAGTTACAAACCATGGCGTGGAAATTTTGGAATTTGTAGAAAAAACCCTAACGTTTTAAAATTGCAAAACACACTCAAAAAGTCAAAATTTTAGAAACACACCACATAAATATCAAACTTATAAATGGTACAAAGTCTTTAACTTACAAACAGCAACATGAAAATTTTGAAATTTGCAGTCAACACCCTAAAAGTGTTACAATTGCAAGATACACCCTAAAAAGCCAAATATTACGGAAATACACCGAAGAAATATGAAAACTTACAAATACTATAAAATCTATAGCTTATAAACAGTAACATGAAAATTTTGCTATTGCAGAAAGCACCCTAAAAGCTTCAAAAATTACAGAATACACCCTAAAACTTCAAATTTTGAAAAAACTGAAAAGTCAAAACTTACAATGGGTATAAAATTTATAAATTAGAAAAATTCCATTGAGAAAATGATATTTGTAGAAAACACCCTAGAACTTTTAAAATTTATAAAAAAACACCCTCAAATTTTAATATTTACAAAAAACTCCCTGAAAATATCTAGACTTCTATACAGTAATAAAACCTATGAATGATAAATAGGACCATAAAAACTTTGACTATAGACTCTATGTTAAGTACATGAAAATTATAAAACAATTAAATAGGTCACTCGGGTCGATGGATAACCCGTTTAATAAACGACTTGACCCGATTATTTGATGAGTCAGGTTGGGTCAATATTATACGGGTCGGGTCAAAATTTATATAGGTTGGGTCGACCCTTTTGCCACCCCTAATTCTAAAGTTCTTCTCCATTCGAAGGACACATTCTACCGAATATTTTTCCCACTACTAAGATGCTGGTTAGGAAGCATAATTAAGGATGTATTTAAATAAGAATAGTTAAAGTCTCATGTTTTAGGCTAAACTTAAGAAACCCCCCTAACTTCAGATGTTATCAGAAAACCTTTTCAAATAGGTGGGTAAAGTTATGCTTGGACGGTGGGGGGTGGGGATGGGGGGTTCATTCATGTCGGAACTGCATGAAAGTTGTGAATTCATTTACTACCCCAACCACTCCTAATCAAACTTACTCTAATTAGAGATGCAAGTCTTCCTGACATTGAATTAACCCCTAATGGAATTTATTCCACCATTAGCCCACCTATTTTTCTAGGTTAGAGTATTATCATTGGACTTCAGAATGTACGATTTGGGTATTGTGCCTCTATAACATCATCTGGTTGTCTGCCAAATACCTTTCACACGCCACCGTCAACCTAACTTCATTGGGAAAAACATGCTATTGTCGTTTATTGAGTCGTATTTTCAGGTGGTTGTTCAAGGTACTGAATTTATTTTGCAACTAAATAAATGACGGTGTATTGCTTAACCTGAAAGACGTGGAGAGTCGAATGAAATCATGGTACAGAGCCTGATTAATCAGCAGTTGAAGGGTTTGTCTCTTTACTTCTAGGTGTTTTCTCTTGGTTCTGATTTTAGCTGGAAATGGAGCAACTTGATATTTTTACTCTGAAAAGTCATATATTTACATCTTATCAAATGAGGGTGATTATCAAAAGAAAAGCTTTGCAAAGAATCTTTGTTAAAAGAAGATCCGTATGAGGGAGAACAACTCCCTCATGTCTTAAATTTTTGATTGCTTACATTTTTGTTAATTGTGCAGGTACAATTGATCGCATACATTTTTCAGGGATGGAAAGTATACAAATATCCCAGGATATATCCATATTTGTATATGGTATGATGTCATTGAGATATCTTTTTTACTGATTTGGTAGGTTAAATATATGAAGATAAATATAAGTACAATATCTAGATTCAAATTCTCATATTTGGATGTACATATATGAATCATACAATTGAAAATATTTCGCAGTAGATTGGTGGATCTGCGACCATTCTGGAGATCGTGAGATATGTCCTTATCTTTTTAGATATATCCAACTCAATGAACTTTGATTTGAGAAATTTTCTTTTATAGCTCTTGTATAACATGGTTTGTGTATCCTTCAGTATCACCTGTCACGTTCATCTTTCATTTTTTATCCTTTTTTGTTTCATTCATATGCAATGTCGTATCAGTATTCAATTCTGGTGAATATTGACTATCAATCTTCCTTGTCAATTGAGTGGGAACGATACTGCAAATTATTCGAAAGTTTGCAGAAACTTATTCAAGACTCCAAGCAAAGAACACACTCTTGCACAATCACTCAAGTAGTCTCATCTTCCTTCAACACCTCCAACATAAGCTCATTCCACACATCAATCGGCCTAGGTAAGCACCAATGCAGACAATCACTGATCCCTTTCATCCACTGATTATTCCAATGTATCCCTGGATGCGCGTCGGGCCGACGCGCATCCAGGGATACATTGGAATAATCAGTGGATGAAAGGGATCAGTGATTGTCTGCATTGGTATATGACGGCATGAGGGGAAGTAATATTTTGTAGGCTGGGACGGGGAAGGCGAAACATAGGAAGTATCGTCACTTGCTAAGTATCTTGTAGTTTTTTTCCTTTTTTTAATGCTCGGGCAGAACTTTTGTAGTTGCTTGAGCCTAGAGATGTTACGTTCAATTTTTATTAATGCAACAACGAGGGTACGTACTTTTCGTGCGACCACAGTTATTTCTTAATAAAAGGAAACACAGGAAGTATTAAGTTTTGGCATGCGGCATATATAGAGAAGAGCTTCCAATTTTGAGTACGTGAATTAAAACAAATAATCTGATCGCAATGTCAAATTCAAGAAATAAAGCTAGATCATGAATATATAATATTTGTTGCAGTTCAACATTTTCCACTAAAAATGTGTCCCTTTCTTTCTCCAGGTTATAGCGATAAATTGGTTGAACTGCAACCAATTAAATTGGTTGCAGTTCAACCAATTTATCGCTATAACCTGGAGATGTACGTTCGACATCCGTGAATAATGATGGAGATCCAAGACTGAATCATACCATGTGATTATTTAAATTTCACAAAATTCTCATACAATGTTCAAAGCAAAGAATGCAGTCCTACGCAATAAATCAAGCAGTATCATCCTCCTTTAATACCTCCAACATGAGCTCATTCCACACATCAACAGGCCCTGGCAAGCACCAATGCACACAATCACTATACCCTTTCATCCACTGATTGTTCCAGTGAATCCCCGGATGAGCATCAGCCCTCATCGTCATCGCCTTCGTCACGTCCAAAATCCTAAACCCTTTCCCTTCCTCCCTCTTCACTTCCTCAGCCTGCGCATTCCTCACTTCCCACTCAGTTCCCCCGAAACTCACTTCCCCGTTACCCAACGGTTCAGTTCTGTTACAAATACCTCCCCCATTCCAATCCCCGTTCTCAAAATGGGCTGGCGAGAAGGTTCTTAGTATACTGACAATCCCATCGCAGTTCTTGCATTCATTAATGTATTGAAGTGTTGTTCTGTATGATTTTTTTATTGCATAAGCTGGCTCGAAATTTGTTAGGTTACTCTCGGAGCAGTAGATGCAGCCGATGAGGTTGTTGTTCTCGTAGAGGTAGTTTTTTCGGAAGTACCAGTGGCCAGTGGAGATGACGACGTAGTTGAGCCAGGGGAGCTTTTGGGGCCAGGATGTGTCGAGTTTGTCCAAGTGTAGGTCGAAGACTCCCGTTCCCGTTCCGTTTTCGAGTAACTCCGTTCCAGATATTAGGAATTTGGTCCAGAGAGTTAGGAGGGTGAAGTCGTGAGAGCGGAAGTACCAGGTTCTGAATCTGTCTTCAGGGTCTTTTTCTTGAATGTCTATAGGTGTTTCCACCTGCAACATTGTTGGTGTTGGGTTTTAGCTTCGAAATGAAAGTATATCATATTGACTTAGCGCAACAAAATCATCACAATAATATAATCATGCGTGCATAGTTTTATAAAATATATCTTAATCAATTGGTAACAGGTGCGTTTCTAAAAGTATACTTGCATAAAGTTGAAGAAAGTTTAGGTACATTTTTCTGTGATCAACATTCATCTATTTTTCTTCAGACCCAACATCTAGGTTTACTCACTTGGAAAAAAAAACAGCCTCATGGTGATTAAAATCATATTTTAACTAGTATGCATGTGATATCGTGGACCAATTAATTTGTGTGAAGAGAAGCGGAGCTCTCCAAGAAAACAAAGTGAAAAATAAATTACACAACTTACCACAATTCAACTATTGAAGGTCAGTTCAATACATGGCAAAAACAACAAAGCCTCTCGTATGCTGGGAGACTGCAAGTGATTAAGAGTGTGATATTGGGTATGCAAACTTTCTGGTCTTCAAGCTTTGTCCTCCCTGTTAAGGTTATGCAGAGAGTTGATGCATTGTGCAGGAAGTTTTTATGGGGCAAATCAGATCAGAACTTTAGAACCCAAGGATCAAGGAGGATTGGGTTTGTTTTCTGCTCCTATATGGAATTATGCCTCTGCTTTGAGGTGTATATGGTATATTCATACAAACAAAGAATTATATGGATTAAATGGATTCATGGTACATATTTAAAAAACAGAGATATATGGAATATGAATACTAAAAGGGGTGACTCATGGACATGGAAGCAATTGATTAAGATAAGAGACAAAGCTATTTCCTTCAGTGGAGGGGTAGATAATCTGAAGAATATCTTATGTTCCTGCTATGTAGGGGGGAAAATCAAACTTTCTGCACTATATCGGATCCTATATCCAAGGGCAAGCTATGTTTCATGGTCAAAACTTGTTTGGGAGAAGCTTAATATTCCTAAACACTCGTTCATATGCTGGCTTGCTATTCAGAACAGATTGTTAACATTGGACAGAATTATAAAGTGGGGGATCATCCATTCCAATATTTGCTGCCTGTGCTCTCTTTCAGTGGAATCCAGGAATCATCTCTTTTTTGATTGTCCATTTTCAGGTTGTGTGTGGAACGATGTGTTGGATTGGTTAAAATGTAGATGGAAATCTAATGATTGGAATCTATGTTTGAACTGGTTCTCAAACTGCCTGAGAGGTAAAGGATTAACTCAGAAGCTTAAAAGGATGGCCATGGTTACTACAATATACATATTATGGAGAGAAAGAAATAGAAGACTGTTCCAGGGGAAATATAAAGATGCAGATGCTGTGTTTAAGGAAATCAAGATGGAGATTTTGTACATTGCTCTCAATAATCCAGACATCAAAGATCAATGTAACCTCGGTGGATAGAGGTTTCCGTTTTGTTAGAGGGTTCTGGTTTTGTAATCTCAATTGATAGAGGGTTCTGTTTTTGGTACTCAGTTTTTGAAAGAAAAAAAAACTGAGTTTTCTTGAGGTGTATTAAACTTTCAATATTTGGTAGTGAATAAAATTTTTCATTCACCAAAAAAAAAAAAACTATTGAAATTAATATGTTTGGAGGAAATCCAAGAAATCCTGTCCGTAAGTTACATGTGACCTGCCCGTCTGATTATGATCAAATATTTTATCAAAAGTCAGAAGCTTCAATATTAGTACTAGCTAACTATTAAACGACAATCATAAATGCAGATTGTTAAAACCACATGCATTTCAGTACTTTTTTTCCTTCAAAGTCTACTACAGCATCAATTAAATCATGGTTTGGGCATTAATTTTTTAGCTCGATCGATCATGTATATATTTGTTAGTATTTTTTTTCCTGCACAAATCACAAAGGACTCATCTTGATTACCCACTGAACATAATCATGTGCTACCACTAATTGTTTATTAGATCTTAATGAAGTCAGATGAATTATGTGTTCATTCAAATGTAACTACCACCAACTGAAACATTGAACACTAAAGTACTCTTTATGCTTAGACTTGAGAAATGTTAAGTAAAAGCCATTTGTTTTACTCCCCCCAACAGAAACATTGAACGCTACACCTCTTGAAAACAACATGCTTCGTACCACAAACGCCTTCAATGACATCCAAAATTTTGGACCTATCTATACTTGTGATGATAATGCAAAGCTAGTTGAATACCCAGGATATGTAGTCATTCCAACCACGCACCTCTAAGCCTGTGAAATACATCCAATGGCCGCGAAAATATAATTCATGTGCTCTAGCGCCCTGTACGCACAGTACTCCGGTGCAATCGTCTTCTTCTCGACATGATATATCTCTGAGAAAGTGGAATCCTGTATCAGTATATCCTCAAATGTGATGCCCTCCTCCGATCATTGCCTTACGCATTAGCTTGAATTCTTAAACTTCTGATCATATTATTGTTGTGCGCCGTGCGGAAGCGTGCTCGCAAACCAAATGAGTCGGCGAACGATGAGAGAAGAGAACTAAACCAAACACGAGTGCAATCATCAAAAATACGACACAAATCAAACCAACACAGAGAATTTACGTGATTCGGCAACTTGTCTACGTCCACGTGGAGAGGATGAGAGAGGGGGGGAATTACCTACGGGGGGGGGGGGGGGGGAGGGGGATTTCACTATATGGAGGAGAAATACAATGAGTTATAACTCACACAATCACTCAAATATTGTTAGGGTTTTTCTAACCCCTGTTGCGATTTGGAAATAGAGATGAGAGAGGGAAGGGAGGAAAAAATAAATCACAGAACACACAGAATTTACGTGTTTCACTCCTTGATGAGAGAAGTTACGTCCACGGCCGTCGCAGATAAAATTCTACTATGTTCTAAATAGTTTATAAGTTGCGCCCTAATCACCCTTTTTATAGGTAGGGTATTAGTGCGACTTAAAATTACATATATACCATTGGGAAAAAAAGTTTGATCCGCGCAGTTAGGGTTCTGACGATTCGATCACTTAAGTGAATTAGGTCGGGTCTGAAAATTAGGCTCCACATAACCTAACATCTCCTACTTGGAGACTAACTTTCCCATAGTATGCTCCTGAAAAGCTTCAACATCTTCAATCCTTATTACCTTTCCATGCGGCGACGGCCTCCCATATTATCAAGCAATGAGGCCAACTGAAGTTGAACACAACTTCAGTTTCTCTATAGTGACAGTCTTTTTAAACATGTTAGCCGAGTTTTTGCTTCCTTGGATCTTCACAAGCTCTAACATGTCATCATCCAAGGTTGACCTTATGAAGTGATAACGAACATGTATGTGCTTCGTCCTAGCATGAAATGCCCTTCTTGCACAGTGCCTGCAGTGACTTTTCACCTTGAATCCCTTCGCCTCCAAAGCTCCAACTGAAATAAGATTCTTCTTCAACTGAGGAACAAATCTCACTTCATTCAATTCACGAACTATTCCATCGTGTATTCAAATTCTGACGATATGTATCACACAAATACCTCAGGATTGATCATTTTTCATGACAACAACACCCCCATCGAGTCTCTCAAATGATGCAAATCAATCTCGCTTGGGAGTCACATGATAAGTAGTACCAGACTCAAGCATCCAATCAGATGCATCCACATGGTTCACCTCTGGAGTAATCAAAAGAGAAAAGCACGAATCATCGGAATCATCGTCTTTCACAACATTCACCTCATTGGCCTTCGGGCCTTTTTTCTTGTTATCCTCCTTCTCCTTGAGTTTCGGGTAGTCTCTCTTTCAATGTCTCTGTTCCTTGCAGAATGCACACTGGTTCTTAGCTAACTGATGATGACCTCTAGACTTTGACATGCTCCTATTATCACCTCTCAAATATGGGCTTCTACCTCTCGTCGACAAGGCCTCTCCTGAAGTACTAGCGCGGGAAGTCTCTTTGTCCTTCCTCCTTAAGTCATAGTTCATCAAAATATTAGTAATTTCACTATATGTGATAGAAGATCTCCCGTTCAATAAGACAATTACGAAGGTATCATACTCCTCATCCGGTAAGGAGCCCAAAAGAATAATAGCATTGTACTCATTTGTGATCTTCTCATCCACGTTCACCAAGTCCGACAACAACTTTGTATAGTTGTTCACATAAACTACAACTGAGGTGCTCCTGGACGTTTGAAATCTGAATAATCTTCGCAACAAGTGCAAATGATTCTCAACACTCTTCGTAAGGTACTTATTATTGAGAATCTCCCACATCTCATTACAGACGTCACCCCAATCACATCATACTTCAGCTCATGTTCCAAACAGGACCTGATCACCACACAAGCATTCCTATTCATCTTTTCTCATATTACCTCATCGTATTTCGGTGGTCTCTCATGGACCATAATGGTCTCTTCCAAATTTTGAGCATTGAGAGCGTTCTATACGTCGCTCATCCACAAACCAAAATTAATTTTATCGTCATACTTCACCACACTATTCTTAATGTTTTGAAATCCAATTAACCTGAACTCTATTCCCCATCGTCTTACTGCTTTCACCAACTTCTTCTCTCATTGCAAACCACTTCAAATTGTAAAGAAAGATATAAACTTTGATAGAAATTGAGAAATTACCCAACTGAATCCTAGATAGAATTCTAATATAATCTCCTAACCACATAAGGAAAGCGAGATCTCTAACGATAACTCCACAACGCTATCTCCACCGAAGCCTAGAACTCCAAGAACCAAGCTTCCACAATGAATCTTCCTCCACCCAATACAAAAATCCTAGATCTCAAATCTGGAGGTCTGATACCATTGTGCGTCGTGCGGAAGCGTGCTCACAAACCAAACGAGTCGGTGAGCGATGAGAGAAGAGAACTAAACCAAACACGAGTGCAATCGCCAAAAATACGACACAAATCAAACCAACACAGAGAATTTACGTGGTTCGACAAATTACCTACGTCCACGGGGAGAGAATAGGGAGATTTCACTATATGGAGAAAAAATACAATGGGTTAAAACTCACACAATCACTCAAATATAACCCTAACTAAAGATCTCAACTCCCTCACAATATCTCCCTCTCAATATGCTCAAAAGACTCTTTTTATTCTCTCTAATTCTCTCTGATAATTTTCTCTTCTAAAACGTTTCATATATATAGAAATCCTAAAACCAAAAACATACTAGGAATTCTAAAACAAAAAACAAAACAGATTAGGAATCCTAATAACCTGTTACCGAAACAGATTAGGAATCATGTTATTAAAACAGATTAGGAATCCCAATAACCTGTTACTTAAACAAATTAGAAAACATATTAGGAACCTGGTATCCAACACTTATTGATTTGAGCCGATCTCTATTCAGCACATTCGAGTTATAGTGCATTTGCAAACGTTGCCTATTCGTAGTTATTAATTCTCCTATATATATTCATCATACAGAAAATACATGCACTATATGTGTATCATGTCTAATGCATCCGTACATTCATCTTCTTGGAACCAAACCATCAATAATTTTCCAAAAGCAAAAACTTTGTGATACAGCTTACAAAAAAAAAAAAACCAATAGTAGAAAGCTCAAGAATCACCTGAGACAAGAGACAAAGTAATGATTCCATCTGGTTTCTAGAGACCGAGTCCCCAACAAATGCCATTCTCTTGCCTTCAACAATCTTCAAAAATCTCTTCGCATCAAATCTCGGCAAATCACAGCCCTTAGGCTTCCATCTCCAATGCACAAACCCTTGTTCTTTCCCATACTTTTCGCAATTCTTCGACTCAGGAATCGTGCTACAACTCCCTTGAGTATAATACGGCGTTCTCTCAAAATCTCTCACCCATTCCCCATCAAACAAGTCACATTTTGTACCATTGCTTCTTTGAGGGAAGACCCTATAGCTAGAAGGGTTCGGAGAGTAGATCAAGGCGAGAAGAAAGATGAAGGATGCTAAGAGGAACAATGGCAAGAATGAGATGCTACTCTTTATGTTGATGTTAAGCAACTCTTGAGTTAGCCTTTGTATGGTTGATGAGCTTTTGGCCATGGTGGAGACTTTGAGATGGTAGCTAGGATTGCATAGGTTTTAAAGTGTGATATTGACAATGTAGAAGCCATGTTAAAATAAAAAAAAATTAAGGGGGGATGAATTTTGTGGAATCTCTTTGGTGGCTTGAGAAGAAGGATAAGAAGTTAATAAGGAAATGTAGGTGGATACAACTAAAAGCATTAAAAGGGGATGTTAATTATGTAAATTACCAAGTAGGGTTAATTGATTGGAGACACATGGAGGTTTGAGGAGAGCATTGCATGGGGCTGATTTTGCGCCGCAACGTATTCTTTGTACTAGAATGTGGTATGCACTGCACGGAGATCTCGTTAATTAGCTACCAATAAGCTTGAACCTGACATATTTGTAGATTTTTACCTCCCTTTTGTTTTATGCTTCTATATTTATTGAATTTTCACTGTAATTTCCAAATTCTCAATTGTGATGTAACTAGGATTACAAATTATTTTGATTGCTTATTTGAAGAATGGAGCAGATGAATCCTAGATATTGTGTATCAAATTGCAATAGCAGATTTAAAGTAAATAGTGACAACAATCTTAGTACATGTATAATTATAATTTAGTTGAGATTGTTAGAGAAAATTACCATGTGATCTAATGGACAAGTCAAATATGTTCAGGTTTTGAGGGCAGGACTTTTGTCTAGGGTGATAGTATGTTATAATCTTAATTTTTATTAGGTAAATGTATATTATATTTCAAATTAAATTAGCAATTCTCAAATATTTATTTGCTTGTATTAATGTATAAATCTTTGATTACTAAAGATGTTTTATACAAATAATAATAGTAGTTATGATGATATGTAAATATATAATTGGTTGAGGGAATTATTAAAATAAAGGTATATAATATATAAAGGGAAAATTTTAATTAAACCCTACCCAAGTCCGATGTGCCGCAGAATGTGCCGCAGACTTTCACGGAAGCTGCGCTTTTAGAAAAAGAAAAAGAAAAGAAAAACTATGTTGCAAAGGAGAAGAGCCGGGAGAAAATTATTATTTTACTAGTGTTTATTATTTTCGGAGAAAGGGTACACTGAAAGGATTTCTTACTTGCGCCCACGATTGATGATATAAGTTACTTTTTCATATTACTATGTAGAATAAACGTGCATTAGGTCAAATATTATAATTATTTACTTTAAGTTTATTTATTTACTATAACATGGTTATAAAAATCTTTATAATTATCATAATATATTAAATATTTTTATATATTTCCATGTGTGATTTTAACATTTTGTCTTCCAGAGAAATAGTGATGTTAAAGCCTTAAAATATTAATGATTTAAGATTAATTAGTAATTTGAATGTATAATTTTAAAATATTAATGATGTAAGTGACCAATATGAAAAAACCTATTATTGTTAATAAAAAATAAATTTTTGAATTTATTAAGGAAAATGCTAGGTTTTATCTAGTCATTAAGAATTTTATTCAGTTATAAAAAAATCACTTTTACATGTTATTTACTTCCGCCTGTTGTTTATCTGGCGATTGGGTATTATAGATATTCAAGAACTTTTTTCTAGAATTTTCTAAGTTACAATATGTAAATTTAATTAAGAAAGAAAATATAAATTATGTGATCAATTTCAAAATCTGATGTTGTACACTTTTTACATCTTCTCAACTACAAATTAATTGATTTGTCAAAATGATTACTCTCTAATTTTAGAAAACTATAAAATATAGTCTAAAAATAATTTGTACATATTAGCACTCATATTGATTGTATTTTAATAAAATAATTCATATCTATCAAATGTCAAACAACATCCAAAAATAGAACTCCTAATTAATTGAAAAGAGCGATGATAAGCTCTAGTATATCATTAGCAAAATCAATATGGTTACATGTTCATAACGCGTATAACTAAAAATTATCCTCATTGGTCCCTCACCATTTTCTCATCATGTTCACTTTTCTCATCATTTTCTCTAAACTAATCAAAGATGAAGCCAAAAACTCACAAATATGACATCATATATGCAATAATACAAATAATAATATGTGATAATTTATCGAACTATTTGTTAATTATTTGGTTCATCTATATCCCTAGATGTGTTAGAAATTTACATAATTTGTTGGACTACTTTTAAAATATTATAGATTTGAAGGACTAATATTAAAATAATTCTTAATTTTTTATGGGGGGGCACTCATTAACAATGGGATAATCAATCACTAATGTTAAAATTTTTATGATGAGCACATTAGTATTGACGACAGATTCGATCTGTCACCAATAAGTATTGGCGACGAAAGTGTTCCGTCGCCAATACTTATTGGAGACGGAGCGCATCGGTCACCAATAAGTATTGGCGGCAGATCGAATTTGTTGCCAATGCAAACATTGGCGACAGGGTATTGGCGACGGGGTTGTGTACGTCACTAATGTTTATATTGGCGATTGATTTCAAATCCGTCGCCAATATCCCGTCGCCAATGCCCAGTTTTTTACTAGTGAATTTAGTTTAAGGAGTTAGAAGAATAAAATATCTATAATAATACTTATATTCAAGTTATAAGCTTCATAAACTTATAAGAATGTGAGCAATATAAAATGACAACTTAATTTACTTTGTCAAATAATTTATTACAAGTCATGAAATAGAAGGGGAATCAGAAGGATCATATACCCATCCCAAATAAATATTAAATTTCTCTTAGAGATTCTTATAGTAAAAGATTTTTAGAGTTGATGTGTTAGGTAAATTTAACGACAAATAATTCAAACCAGTTCATTGAGTGATAGATTTGCTATAAACTCTACTCTTATAAAATTTATATCACATGTGTCTTAACTTGTGCTTTTATTTAAGAGTTAATTTTAAAAAACTATCCCTTAACTATAGAGGGCATGGCA